GGCTTTGCAATATTCCATCTTGTATATGTATCACATTTTTTAATCAAGTCTACTTTTGATGGGCAGCATGGTTGGTTACATGTTTTTGCTATTGTGGATAATGCTTCACTAAATATGCGTGCGCAGGTATCTTTTTGGTAGAATGATTTGAGTTCCACCTAGCATATTCCCAAAAGGGGGATTCCTGGGTCATATGGGAGGTTGGTTTTTAGATCTTTTAGGAGTTGCCACACTGTTTTTCGCAGAGGTTGTACTAGTTTACACTCCCACTAACAGTATAGAAGTGTTCCCTTTTCCCCACATCCTCTCCAGCACCTGTTGATTTTCGAGTAACTGATGCTGGCCATCCTGACTGGAGTTAGGTGGTATCTCAATGTAGTTTTAATTTGCATTTCTTTGATGATTAGTGAGGCAGAACATTTTATCATGCATCTGTTGGCTGCTCTTATTTCTTCTTTTATGAAGTGTCTATTCATATCTTTTGCCCACTTTTTAATAGGGCTGCTTGTTTTTTTCTTTTTGGCATGTTTGAGTTCTTTGTAGATTCTAGATGTTAGGCCTTTTACAGGCATACAGTTGGCAAATATTTTTTTCCCAGTCTGAGGAATATCTTCTCACTCTCTTGATAGTTTCTTTGGCTTTGCAGAAGCTTGTCAGTTTGATGAGGTCCCACTTGTCTATCTTATCTCTTATGGCAAGAGCTCTTGGGGTTTTGATGAGGAATTGGTTACCAGTTCCAATTTCCATAAGGGAGTATCCTGAATTTTCTAAGATTCTTATAGTTTGAGGTTTTACATTTAGGTCTTTGATCCTTTTAGATTTGATTTTTGTGGATGGTGATAGGTAGGGATCTTGTTTTAATCTTCTGCATGTGGTCAGACAGTTTTCCCAGCACCGTTTACTGAATAAGTTCTCCTCTCCTCAGTAGCTATTAGTGAAGGCTTTGTCAAAGATGAGTTGGTTGAGAAATTGAGGTTTTGCTTCCGGAATCTGTATCCTGTTCCATTGGTCTATATGTCTGTTCTTGTACCAATACCAGGCTGTTTTGGTTATTGTAGCTTTATAATAAAGTTTAAAGTCTAGAAGTGTGATACCTTCTACTTTCTTCCTTTTGCTGAGGATTGTTCACAGTCGTTTATGAGTCTATACTAATTTCTGTATTGTTTTTTCCTTGTCTAAGAAGAATGATGTTGGTCATTTAATGGGTATTGCATTAAATCTGTAGATTGCCTTGGGTAGAATTTACATCTTAACTATGAGCATGGAATATTTTTCCATTTGTTTATGTCATCTTTGATTTCTTTGAGCAATGTTTTACAGTTTTTGTTGTAAAGGTCTTTCATTTCTCTGGTTAGGAAGATGTCAAGGTATTTCATATTTTGTGTGGCTATTATGAATGAGATTGTGCCTTTTTGTTTGTTTGTTTCTCTGCCTATTTGTTGTTGGTGTATAAGAGTGCTACATAATTATATCATTAGATGCAGAAAAAGTTTTCGATAAAATCCAGCATAGAGGAAACATACCTCAAAATAGTAGGAGCCATCTACGATAAACCCACAGCCAACATATTGCTAAACGGACAAAAATTGGAAGGGTTTCCCTGAAAACTGGAACAAGACTAGGCTGCCCACTTTCACCCCTCTTGTTCAACATAGTGTTGGAAGTTCTAGCTAGAGCAATCAGACAAAAGAAGGAAATCAGGGGTATCTAGGTAGGGAAAGAGGAAGCCAAGCTATTCCTCTTTGCTGGTGGTATGATTCTATACCTCAAAAATGTAAAAGAATCTGTCAAAAACTTTCTTGCACTGATAAAGGACTTTGACAAAGTACCGGGGTACAAAATCAATGTGCAAAAGATAGTAGAATTCCTATATCTCTTATTTTAAAAGGTGTTGATACTATGAACCTATAAAAGCTCATAAAGAAAATTGAAGTAAATGTGCAATGAGTAATATGTCTCACACAAAACTAGTTAGAAATCTCTTGAATAGCTTTTTCTTCCATTTAATTTTAAACTATTAATTAGATATCTTAAAATAAATGTCCCCTTATTTTTCTTTTTAAAATCTCTGTTTACTTTTATGTGAATATATGATGAATATGTATTTCTATATATGTATGATATATCTGTATCTATATCTATATATGTATGTCACACATTTAGATATAAAGCAAGATTTTGCAAGTAGAGCAATAGCACTTTAGAACCAAAGGAATCTCTGGAACTGTGGAATATTCAAAATGCAATGATAGCATCAAACAAGTACAAACTCAGTTAAAATCCTTCCCTTGGTTCTCAAAGTGCTGACTGTACACTTTTCTTGCAGAAGCCACAACAGGGGCACTCATATTCTCAAATTTACGTTTCCTTTTTTTTATATAGCACTTTAGCTTAGCTAACAACCTCCCATTAAAATGGATTCTAAATTGTAGGATTTTTTTCCTAAGTAACTAAGCTGCTTGTAGAATCCTTTGAATATATGTGTGGCATTAACGGAGCTCTGGTCTAATTCTAAATTCTCTTCTATTCTCTTTCCAGAGTGGCTTTTAGAAAACAGAGACCTGTTATTTTACCATTCCAAAAATCTTTAACCATTTAAATTATTGTCCTTAACTAAGCATTCAATACCCCAAAAATCTGGCCCCAAACTACTCTCTGATTATAACTTGTTCTAAATATTCTATGACGCCCATCTGCATCTTTACTCACTCTGCCTCTTCTGAGAATATCTTTCCCACTTAATGTGTGCCTTTGAAAGCCTGACCCATTCTTTATGTCCCAGTTCAAATGCTACCTCCTTCATAAAATACCTCAGTCCCAACCCAGTTCTACTTGTACCCTAATTCTATCTCTTCCTTATTTGATAGTTAATAGAGCTCTATGTCATTTATACAGCATTAATTACACTTTTCTTTGTGTTAGCAAATGCTTGGGAAGCAATTGTAAATAACGCCTTAGGGAAATAATAAATAACACCTAAGGGAAAAAATATAGACATTTGAGCCAGAATAGACGTGAGTTTAAACCCTGGCTCCTGGACAAGTCAAATAATTTTTCTGAATTTCAACTTCTTCATCTGTAAACTGAAGAATATATTACCAAATTTGTATGGATTGTAAGGTAAAGATCCCCAATAAGGGATAGATATTATTACCACCATTATTAGATCATCTTCTGCACTAGTTCATTAACAGTATCTTGCAGCATCTTACCCTCCATAGCATTTTCTAGATTGAATGGAAGCAGCCCAAATTGACTACATCTGCTGTGTGGATCTTACTAAGCTATTAGTTTTTCAACATCTGTTTTGAATTTCAGAAAGAAATTTCCATTTTTAGGCAATAGCAGCATTTTCCTGTGGCATTTTAATATGTCTCAATCCTGAAATGATTATGACTTCTTCTTGATTGGATCCAAGTCAGCAAAGCCATGGAGAACAGCCCAGTCCATGAGTACATCCACTTTACCTAGGCTTAAGAGACCTTAAACCTCTGTACAAAGAGCCTGAATAACAAAGAACACTGCTTGAGCTTTTGCTCAGATGTTTAAATAGCACCAATAACGGAGCTTAGAAAGCTCTTAATTATCAGCATTAGTGCAAGACAGGGAGTGCACAAGTCATAGAAACCCTGGTTTGCTCTGAAGTCTAGAGTGCTGGTAACTACACAGGATGCACTCGTGATGTGTTTCTAATGATTACTGTGCTCCTTTTCCTTCTGAGTTCCTATTGATTCTCAATTCCCTTATGAAATTCCAAAAAGAAGCAGCCACTCTTGTCTCAAGTAGTTTCTAAATTATTTCCTTTGGAAAACAGAATTTTCTAAAGCACCATACTTCATGAATTCTCTAAGTCTTTCTTTGTCCCCTTCCAACATAAATGTAACCTAGAGGTATCATTAAGGGGAAATTGTGAGTGTTGGGGAGGACTCAAGTTCCAGAGCAAAAACTTCTAGCTGTCAGAAATATGTAAGAAATATCATGGGAACATAAAATCAACTATGCTAATTATGAGATATAATTGAGGTTATGCTTTATGTGTCAGAATGACTGGCTCAACTTCTCCCATCAAAACAGAAAATAAAAATCAAGGGGAAAAAAGACAGTTGTCAGGATCCCAGAATTAGTAGAAACCATTTAGCCCTAGTGCACAATGATGTTTCAGCACCAAGGACAGAGCTCTATGGGGCTTAATGACACTGATCCTATATAATTAATGAATTGTTTTAATGGCTTAGACTTTCCACTCAGATGTTTATACACTCATCCATATATTGCTGTTGTGAGCCCTAGCTGTTGTGAGCTGTTGTGAGCCCTAGCACTTCAGACCTTGGTACAATGTACAAAGACTCCAGCCAGTTACAGCACTCAAGGTAACTCACTGGGGCAGAAGATGAGCAAGATTGGCAAGCTAATGAGTACAACAGTGTATGACAGGTGGCATTACAGAGTTGTATACAAGCCATATGAGGTCCAGGAGAGGGAATGCTGAACTTTTACTGCTACAAAGAAAGACTTTACAAAGGATGTGACATTTGAGCTGGATATAAAAGATTGAGTGAAGTTTGCAAGACAGAAAAGAAACACCATGAAAGAGGACTTAGTGTGCTTGGAGATGTCTGGAAATGTGACTTGGTATGGCTAAAACATGGGTAAATGGGGAAATAAGGAATAAGCTGGGTCAAGTCATCAAGGGCTTGTATCCCAAGCCAAGAAGGTTAGGTTTTATCATGGGGAAACAGAAAACCATCAAATGATTTTGAACAAGGACAGGATCTGATCAGATTTGTATTTTGGAAAGGTATTTCAGACTGTGTGAGGGAGAACAGATTGAACAAAGGAAGTGAGAGGGCAGCAGGGCAGATGGGGTGACATTTCTCCAGATGCCTGGGAATAAGGAGCTGCTCCATCATAAAGTTGGGTAGACAGAGGGAATGAATTTATTTGGCCTGGCTCTCATTAGCTACTTACTAGTATTTCACATGCAAATTGTGTCTCTTCAGATTCCTCCAAGAAGATAAAGGATGTCTTGACTGAATTTAATGAGGGTGGGAGCCTCAAACAATTTGACCCACATGAGGTAAGAATATTTCCATATCAAGTCTCTAGAAAACCCTGTGCCCCAGCCTCTCCATAATGTGTTCCCTCTTGGAGGCTTAGCTTGACTTGAAGAATTTGCTCCTCCACCTGTTTTCTCCTGTTTCAAGTGAGCCATCAATGCGATTTGTCTTTCTATGTTCCCCAAGTCCATTCACTCTCCTGCTGTCCTAGAAGACTGCTATGACTTCTCTTCTGCTCACATCTCTCACTTCCCTTCTCTCCTCATTCACAGTTAACTACTGTATTTTCACTGAGAAAATAGACTCAATCAGAAAAGCTCTTCCACCAGTTCTCTTATTACCCCATGTGCCCACCTATCTGTACCTTTTCTTCTATAACTAGAGATAAACTCTTCATGCCCTTGCCTAAGTCCACCTCCTCACTTATGCACTCAATCCCACCTTCTGATGGCCTATTGACAAGCTTTGTTTCAGCAACACATCTCCCCATTCCCCTTCTTTCCCTTTCTTCTCCTCCCTTTTTTTCTCTATATATTTCTACCTGTCTCCTTCACATCAGCTGTCCTCTATATAGTCTATTTTTCCCATCAATGTATAAATACACTGTTATTTATTTTATATTAATAAATATTCTCCTAACTTCACTTCCTCCTTCTCATACCCCCTCATTTCTCTCCTATCTTTATAACAAAACTGTACAAAGATGTGTCTACACTCATTGCCTCCAAGTTCTCAGAAAAGAAAGCTCTTGAAAGCCCAGTGTATAACCCCTACCTCTCCACTAAAACCACTGGTCAAGATAGCCAAGGACCTCCTTGTGGCTAGACCCAATAACAGTCTCGCTGAACCCCATTGAACAGGGTTTGTCAAATTCTTCTCCATTTTCTTCCCTTGCTCTCAGGGGGCTACAATCTTCTGGTTTTCCTCTTACATCTTTACTTGACATTTCCACTTAAAAATCAAATAAAGATCTCAAACTAAACATGAACTAAACTGATATGCCCTTGATCATCCCTTACAAAATCTGCCTTTCAGGCAATCTTCCCCATTTCAGTACATGTCAACTCCACTCTTCAAGTTATTCAACCAAAAATTATGGAGTCTTCATTGACTTTTGTCTTTCTCTCCTATCCCACGTCCAATTCATCAGCAAATTCTGTCACTTCTACCTTGAAAATGTATCCAGAACCTAGTCACCCCTTACCACCTGCACTGCACTGCTGCCATTCTGACCTTAGTCATCACCATATTTTGCCCAGATTATTGCAAAGTCTCCTTATTAGGCTCCCTGCCTTTGCCCTAGCTCTTTTATGTTTATTCTTCATATGCATCCTAAGCAATTAGTTAAGACTTATTTCAGAGCTTATCACTACTCAACAGTCTTCCATGATTCTCCCAACCTTCTGCTCAGAGTAAAAGTCAAGGTCATTACAATCTGTTCCTCTCCCTGCTCTCTGAATTCATCTCTTGCTACTCACCCTATCTTCATTCCTTTCTAGCCGTATTAGCCTCCTTAATGCTGTAAAACAGTCAGTGTCACGGTAACCTTGCACCATGGCACTTATTGTTGCCACTTCTTGTATGTTTCTCCTGAACATAACCACATTCCCTTATCTCCTTCAAGTCCATGCTTGAACAGTGATTGTCACCTTCTTTATCTAAAATGCAAAGTCCTCTTTCCTGACACTTCCAATTCCCCTGCTCTGCTTTACTTTATTCTTTAGTACTTCCCACCATCTGTCACACTATGTCATTTACTTAATTAATTGTCTGCCTCTCCCACTAGAATATTTTTGTTTGCTGCTGTGTCTTCAGTGCCCAGAAACATGTCTGACTCATAACACACGTTTGGTAAATATTTGTGAACTGAATAAGTGAATGCAAGACCTCTTTCCACTTTCAAATTCAACTCATCTAACATATCTTGGGCATCTAGGCACCGTGCTGGGCACTATAGATCACATAAAAATAATGAAACACAGTTCCTGCTCTCCAGAACGTGTTTCCTACTGGCAGGGTCATGTTCAAGAGCCATGACCTTGGAGTTACATGGTCTTAGGTTAGATTTTATTTTTGCCACCAACCAGCAATGTGGCATTGAATAATATTTCACTTCTTTGAGTCTCACTTTTCTCGTCTATAAACTGACAATAACAAAAAAATAAAAGTCTTAAAGTTTGTGGATGAGTGAATTAAATGAGATAATGCTTGCAGAGTCTAACACTTTACAGGACACTTTAAAAATAGTACCCATTATTATTCCTCTTCTATTCCTTTTCCCTAGGATGTTTTAAACTCAATGCCCTTTTACTTGCTCCTGGATCCTTATATGAGGGCTAATTGCAGAAAAGTAACTAATCAGCAGGACTAACTTAGGGAGAGACTGGCCACTTACTTATTCAGGTTGTCATCCTCAGCCAACCTGAGGCAATACTTTCTCTGCTGGACACTGGGAATGAATTAACAAAACCTGTATTCCTATGGCACACCTGAGAGTGGCTTTGGTTAAAATGCACCAGTCGCAGAGAGAATGAAGCAGGAGGGAGGTTACCAGAGTGGGGAAGGGTAGGGAGCCGAGATTGAGAATGCACCACTTCAAAGAACATTCCTGAGGAGAAGCCATGCAGAGAAGATGGCAGAGTCAGCAAAGAAGTCACTACCCCTCACCCCCCACCCCCAGCTCCAACATCACAGAAACAAAGCCTGGCAGGGACTGCTAATCAGACTGTCAGTCCTGGGGCTGATAAGTGAGATGGGGGATAACTTGGTTAGGACATTGTGGGTGTGGAGACCACGGGAGTTTTCAGAAGCAAGAAGCAGCTTGGCTGTCATGAGCACAGGGCCGCCCTCGTCTTCATGGGGCTGGCCCCACTTTTTGTATGCCTGGTACTGTTGTGTCCAGGGGAGCTCTGTCACTCTGATTTCATTTTCTCACACAGTGTGGCTGACTTGTAGTAGGTGTGATATCATGGCTCGGGATTGGGGAAACAACAAGGCTTTCATTTCTTTTGAGCTTGATGGCTTACTGCTGCTAAAATGTCTCAACAAGAAATGGGTTAGCAGTGGGAAGGGGCAGGTTGCTAGGAAAGCTAGGACAGGAAGAGAAGTCTGCAGAGTGGTGGAGCTGCATCTGGCCGTGATGAACATGCCTTTGCCCACCAGCACCAAGTGACTCTCTGGAGAATAGAGCAGGGGAAGACAGCGAGAGAATGGACAGGACCCAGTGAAACAAAAGAGGCAGGTAGCTTGGTGGTACTGTGAGCCTGGACCCAGACACATCCAAACACAAAACCAAGCTCAGTCTGCCACATGCTTCATGATCTTGAGCAAGTTATTTACATTGCCAAAATGTATTTTATCCCAAAAAGTGATAGCAATAGTCTCCCTCACACTGCTTTCATGAGAATTCAGGTGTCTGCTCCAAGCTCTCCATCTAGTTCTCCTCCCTTCTTGGCCTGTGTAAGACTTAATACAGTCTCTTTAAGCAGACTGTGGCAGCTGCAGTTTCCCAGCTAATTTCTGCATGAAAGTTGCCCGGTAAAAACAGAGTTCCTTTGGCCTGAACCATGAAGGTGCCTGTGATATCAATCCAGGACTCAGAGAATTGCCGGCATGCCTTACATCATGCCTCAGTTTAGGCTTGATACCCACCCGCTCCTTACCCCATCACCCATCATGCATTTACTAAACAGCTACTCTCTTCCTGGTCTGTGCTTGCAAAGACCTTTTGTGTAACCCAGATATCACTTTGAGAATGGCACACTGTCACATTTCTTTGCCTGTTGAACGTGAGGTGCTTGGAGGAGTAGCAGGGAGCACTGTGGCAGCTCTGTGATCTGTGACAGATATAATAGCAGGAGCACTGGACTAGGAGTCAGAAAGTCTGGTTTCTGGTTTTGCTATGCCACTAGTTCGCTGGGGCAAATCGCTGAATTTCCTGATTCTCAATAGCATGAGGAGACCCAGCCCCTCTGAGGCTCTTCTGGTTTGAATGTTCTATGTCTCTGGGTTTATTCTATGCCATCCTGTTCCCCAGGATAGGGGCATGCATGATTGGACATGAGTTCCATCATCATTATTTTCTAAGTTCTCATAGCAGTTTGTCAGTTCTTTCCCTGTGTTACTCACCACTGATGGCCATGCATTGTAATCATTTCAGTACCTTCACCTCTTATATATAAACACCGAATCTCTTGAACATATAGACCCGTGAGTGTGTTCTCCATGGGTGCCCAGCACCGTGTCTTGTACTTAGAAGTTGCTCCTCTTCAGCACCAGACCATTCCTGAGGTGTACCAATTAGGAACCCATCATCTGTTCAAATATCTATCAAGAATCACTGTGGGAGGCAGCATGGGGGATACAAAGATGAATCAAGACATTCTCAATACCTTCCAGGAGCTCTGGGTATAGTAGAGGAACCAAGGCATGTTGCACATAAGTATACATTATTATAAAACAGCAGATGTGAGTGTCACAAGCCAGGAACCGAGGCCAAAGCATAGAAATTCGGGTACAGGAGATTATCAGGCTTCCTAGAAAGAGGTGGCAGCTGAGTTAGTCCTTGAAGTATGGCCAAATGTTAACATGTAGAGAAGGAAGAGGCTCATACAGAGTAAAATGCATGAAGGCTTTGTCAGGAAAGAAAACAGATATCAGAGCAGACAGAGCATATAGGTGAACATAGGGAGTGATAGGAGAAAATGTCAGAATGGTCTTAGAACTTGAAGAAGCTACTAATCTGAATTGGAAGGGGATTATGGGAGGCTGTGAATCCCAAAGTTCTCAGGAAGCACACAGGATGGTCCACTGGACTGTAAGAATACTACATATTAAATCTACCATTTACATTCATTTTTATCTCATCTAATTTCCATCTTCTGATTTTAATTCTGTAAGTATTTTATAATGTATAAGTGCACAGTAGTACATCAACTGATCTCAACTCTCTATGGATGATTAGAAACCATGGCAAGTTTTTTCATAAGAAAGTGATCTTATCAGAGTTGGGCTTTGAGAAGATCCATCTGGCAAGAATGAGTAAGATAGATGGAGGGACCAACAGATGGAGGTGGAGGCAAAGAAGACTTGGAAAGGGATTGCATTGGTCCAGGTGAAGCATGAAACAGAAGTCTGAAACCAGGAACTTTGGTGATGGCATCAGGGACAATGGACATAGAAAAGGTCTGACTGTGACAGATGTTCCAGACGAACAGTGGAGAGAAGGAAGGGATAGAAACTAGTCTCAGACAACTGAGAGTTCAAAGCTGATCCTGGAATATTGGAAGGATAATGGTGTTGTTGGCACTAATAGAAACTGTGGAGCTGAGAAGAGGAGCTGGTTTTTAGGAAGGAAGCTAATAGCAGTTTAGAACTTGAAATCTCCTAGTTTAGCACTCACAGTTTGCTGCAGAAGAAACCAAGGTTTTTTACAGCATGATGTTACACTTTGTTTAACTAAACTTTCTTTTTATTAAATCATTTAGTACAGTCAGTTTTCCAGAAATATTTTATTCTGGTAGCTTTCACTTGATCCTAACCAAAAGAGATTTATAGAACATTTTGGAACTCAAAACTGCATTTTTAAGACAGTACTTGTCAATTAAAATGGTACGAAAAGACAATGCAAAAAGAACTTTTGACATAAATTAATGAATAGCAACGCCATCAGCAAATATTCAGTCAAATCAGAGTAGAAAATGAAGAGAAGCAAAACAAAGCAATTCCATGGAAACTAGAGAGTTTCAAAAAGGAGAGAGGATGAAATGCTGCAGAAAAGCCAAAGATGAGAAAGTCAAACAGAGGCTATTAAATCTGTGACCTTCCAGAGAGCAGGCTCAGAGGTAATGGGCTAGAATCCAAACTGAACAGAATTAAGGAGGTAGAAAGACTGATCTGCTCTCTTTGGAGAAATTTCAAGGGGAAGGGGAAAAAGATGGGCCAGTAGCCCTAGTCGACAGCAATTTCTTTGGAATAGTGGTCGTTGAACATATTTGCAGGTGGAAGAGAAGAAATTGCTGGGGGAATGTGATCAGAGTCAGCAAGGAGAGAATCAAGGGTCATAGAGTGTGGGATATACTTAGAAATTAGGGGGGAAAGATTCTCGTGTGCTGGGAAAATGTAGGAGGATGCATGAGGAAGGAACATTCTGAGATGATGAGGCCACAGCGACAGAGCAGGATAGAAAGAGTCCCTCAGGTACAGAAAAGGGTCAGAGAGATGGACAGCTGTCACAAAGAGTGTGAGTCCACCATTTGCTTAGAGTTCCCTTAATCTGGTAAGTACCTCTGTCCAACTGAATCAGGTTTCTACCACTCTGCAAAGGCAATGTATATAACAGATTACTCTGGGGCTAAACAGAAATTGTTCTGTGAGCTCCCAATGGGTTGGGAGGGCATCACTTGCTTTTAGGGCCAAGACTTTGGACCCAAACTTGATTATACCCATGCGAGACAGCTCCTGGTTCTGGGAAGTCTCTCAGATCTCCCAGAACAGACAAGGGTTTAAATGCAAGTAGGCTCCTAAAAAGGGACTTTTATTCTCATGGCTATTATTATTCGCAGAAGCCTGCACAGCAGATCGTGGAGTACTTCTTCCTCAAATGATTTCCAGGAGCATCTGCCGATTTGATGAAGAATCTGATGCCATCAAGGCGCAAGCCAATGATGACTCACTGCAAACTGTTGTTGTGGAGGGTTTGCTGAGTGCAGCAGTCCTTTCTGGCAGGGTTGCTCCCAGCCTGGGACCAGAAGCCAGGCGGTACTGGGAGAGGCACAGCAGGAAGAGGGTCTAGTTATTGGCAAGTCTCTTGGTTCTGCCTTCTGTCCTTGGCTTCCTGCTCTTCTCCTGGTGCCTAAAACCTTCACAAGGACATGTTTTGAGAAGCAGCTAAGCCAGACTCACACACTCCCTGGTTATCCTGGGGTTTGTCCAGGGATGATCAGGATTATGAAAGTAATAAAGTATGGAGCCTGTTCTTTTCTCTTCCAGGTCTTTCCTACTTTCTGAGACCTGAATCCTCAGGACTCACACCCCTCACAGTGCCAGAGGAAACCAAGATACACAGAAGAGCCATGTCTTTCCAATGTTTTCAACTCCATCCTTCTTCATCATAGCTAGGATTCTAAGGCACTGACCTCATCCCTGCTCATTAGAGCCATGTCCCTGGACTAAGGCAGGGCCCTTCCCTAGAGCCTGCACTCCCAATGCTCACTTTCCATCGCCCCCCTTTTGGTTTAAATTTACATCATATCATTTCTCATTACAAAAGCCTTCCCTGGATCTGTGCTCCAATGAGCCCCGACAGTCTCCAACATGTTCCCTTTCATACATCCCACCCCCTGCCCCCATACCTGTCAACCTCTATCACCTCCTTGGACTTTTCATCCCTACCCCTATCAACTCCTCCAGTTCCTTCTGCTTCCCTTTCTGTCTCTTTCATCTGCCACTTCCCTGACTCCTTTTCCTTCTCTTCCTTCACTTCTCTTCACTCTCTGTTCCTTCACTTCGCTCCACTAACTTTTTTTTTGCCCCTTCTCAGCCAATTAGCTATGATGTCTTCAAGCTGTTCATGAGGACATACTTGGAGGTGGACCTCCCTCAGTCACTGAGCACTCACCTCTTCCTGGCCTTCAGCCAGAAGCCTAGACAAGAGACCCCTGACCACCCAAAGGAGGAGGCCAGCAGCAACGAGGCCAATGGCCCAGGTGCACAGACCAGTTTTCTGCAAGATGGGAGGGCATTATGTAGCTCTAACCCCCTTACCACAGGCACAAGCTGCATTCTTAAGGGGGTCCCCTGAGCATAGTAACTTCCCCGTGGGGTGGTAATGGGGACCAAGGGATCAGAACTCCTTTCCTCATGGGGCCTTTACAGGCAACCCTGTCTGATGAATCTCTCAATAAGAGGAATAAAGAAGAGGAATTCCTGCCACTCAGGATCAGAGAGTTGGTGGGGGGACACAAATTAATGTATGGGATGGAGGGCAGGGGGAAGAGATCCTTCCGCAGAGGCTGCCAGTTCATGAATGGGGCACATTCAGCTTCTGTGTCAAGGCTGGGACTAGTCTAGGGATGTCAGACCAAGCCTAGAGCTTGGTCTATAATGGGGGAGACACAGTCAACCCCTATAAGAGAGCATGAACCCAACTGACAGTAACCCAGAAACACAAACATAACCTAAGTAAACAAGATCCCATGGCAAAATCCCCTCCCTGCCCACTCAGGAAGCTGGAGGCCTTGGGTTGCTCTTTCAACCTTCTTTTTTCCCCCAGATTCCAACATTCAGAAAGTGGGCAATGCTGCCAAAGCAGACGAGGCCTGTGCCCCTGATGCTGGTAAGTCTTTGGAATGTGAGATTTGGGGAAGAAGTGAGGAGTACCTCTTCCTTGAAGAGAAGTGGGAACGCCGACCCAGCAGTTTTGTCTCTGTGTAATTGTGCACCTTTATGTAGATCTTATCCTCTGTGACCTTTAAAATCTCCATCTCTAGGACTTCTCCATTCAAATATTTTAGGATTCTGAGGTTAGGTAAATTGTTTCACTAATGTGGGGGGGGGGGGGAAGAAGGAGGGAGAGAGTAAAGGAGCGAGGGATAGAGGAAAAGAGAGAGAGAAGGTAAACCGGTGACTCTTGAGCTGTAAACTGGTGACTCTTGAGCTGAGGTACAGAAAACACTACCAGGGTGCAACTGGAGAGAGATTGGGCAAGAATATAAGAATGTGCCGTGGTTGACTTCCAACAAGATACACATACACTATGTTGAGTAAGTTGGGGGGTTGCTAATAAGTTAGCAGGGGAAGCCAGCTAAAGTTTCAAGGTCCATTTGCCAGGTAGCTGTTTATTACATATTTCATGTAACCTTCACAATCACACTCCTTCACACATGAGGAACTGAGGTTTTTAGAGATTATATGCTACTGGTGTGATCTGTGAAGCCAGGGATTCAACCCGAAATTGTCCAACTGTGAAGTTCTTTCCTGCACTGAGAGAAGAGGCAGTGGTCTCTGTTGAGGTGCCTGGTGGTTTGTTCAGTTCCTGGTGGAATGAGCAAGGCTGTGCTCTCAGTGGGACCACTGCAGTGGTTCCTGCCTTCCACAGATCCCACTGCTGGGCTGTAAGAGACATGGAATCTTTTCTGGCACATTTTTCAATGAGAAGCCATTCCTCTGTGCTGCAAACAGACTCGAGGCCAGAATCTCCTAAGAAAACAGGAAAGAGCAAAGGTTAGCATGCTTGACTTCTGTTCTCATGTCCAATACAGCTTTCCTGGGTGCTGTCCACCAAGCTGAGTCAGGCAATAGAGCATGTTGGTTAAGAATCCATACTTCAGAATCAGACTGCCTGGACTGGATTCTCAACTATGACACTACCTAGTTCTGTAATCATGGGCATGTTTGAACAGTGTCTCTGTGCCTCAGTGTCCCCATCTGTAACATAAGATAATAATAAGTGTTATTATGAAGGTTGCATGAGTTGAACATATAAATGCTTAGAACAATTCTGGCACATAGTAAGTGTTCGATAATATTAGCTATTATTATTCTGCCACCCTCCAGAAATACACCCTATTCTAAATTCATTGTGGTCTGCCATAATCTCCTTCAGTCTGCACCCTCAAATTCCATCTGTGTCAGTAGGGCATCCTATTCTCATGGGAGGTCTCCCATGAACTCGTTTTCTCCCAAGTGGCTCCTGAAGCTTCAAATACAAAGACTCAGAGAGTCAGACCTTTTTTTCTGTCCATTATAATTTTATTGAAAAGATTTATAGCTACTCAAAGGTGACTTTCAGCTCTTGAGATGTGCCCAGGAGACAAAGAGTGCGGTTTTGTTATATTTTCCAAATATATATAAAACAAGATAGAGAAGAGATACTACAACTGAAGGAGAAGAGGAACAAGTTGCAACAGGGACCTAGGATGAGATAATTTCTTCAAGTGGACACTAGATGTAGTTCTGGTCTTTTTTTGCAGTTACAGCAAAAAAGAAAACTAAAAGGATTATAGAGTTTTTGGTGTTTAACTGAAGGACAGATGAGATGTCAAAAAAAATTCATTATAAATGGAAAGCAGAGCATGGTTGAGGTGGGGGGGAATTTGTTACTTCTGGATCATAAGCTCAGCAAATTTCCGGGTAGCTTGTGGAGCTCCAAAAAGCAAAGATTAAGGGCACTAATGTCTTCCTGATGCCTTCAGGGACAACAGCAGGACAAGGCCCTACAAAAATGTTGGCTCGCCCACCCCCTGCTCAGAACCCCACCCAGCCCATGCTAGGTCCATGGTCCCCTAATGAAATGAATTAAAGCCATAAATAACTCTTACATCTCATATGGAGTTAGAGGAAGCATATTCTGGCATTCTCATGGTAGAAAGGAAAGGATGAATCTCAAAGCTTTGAGATTTCTTTCGACTCCCAGCAAGAAAAGCAATGGTAAAAAAATATCCTGCCCCAAATTCTTTACCTAGAGACTTCCTTAGTCCAAATATCTGGTCAGGAAGAATCTGGGAAAAGTTACATTTCATTCCTTGAAGTTTCAAATTGTCTGAGCAGGGTTTTTGTTAGTGGATGAAGTTTCTGAGGTGGCAAAGGAAGCTTATTGGGGATAAATCATTACATGATACTTGAGAAAAGATGATTGATTATGATAATGGAAATCAGTCAACTTATTTGACCACTTATTTGCAATAGCTTTATCATTCTGAGTCTAAAAGAGAAATTTCCAAAGATTTCTTCCTGGGATGATTCTGTGATGTACCATTTTCCTTGTGTATGGGGAAAGTCAGCTCTCTGTGGTCAAAGCATGAAAGGGCAACTATCTGACTCTCGGTCCAGGGAGATGTGTAGCATTTTTTAAAATCTCCTTTTGAGACTTGAGATTTCAAGAAGTAAATCCTTTTCCTGCTGGGCCTTCTTCCACAGATGTCTTAATTAAATGCCTCTGCTCACCAGAAATAAGAAGACACCCCAGAGAGTGGGTAGACACCCTTGCTGGTAGACACCCCAGAGAGTGGTCTTTGCCAGCAAGGAAAGCAAAGTCCTATAATCACCTGAGATCAGGCCATCTGTTGAAAATTCTAACCTTTCCCTGTGGCCCAAGCAGAAACCAAAGGAAGAAACTAAATTCTTATTTGATGTGGCCTATCTAAGCCTATCAGTTCAGTCCCTAAGCTCAGATCTGGCACAACACACTTCAAGTTATTCATTCCCAAAGTCGATAGATTTATGCCTGTGTCCATAAGTAGACAGGACCTTCAGAGTCCAGACATTTCCTCAGAGTTCTAAGCTGTCTGTCATTGTCAGGATGTCAGCTCAGAAAAGGCTGAGTCTACCCTTTCCTTCATGAAGCCCAGGCCTGAATGAGAAAAATCAGGAGAACTTTAGTCTCCTGGTTTTTAGTTAGTTTCTTGGGCTGTTGAGATGTTTCAGCAGTCTGGAATATAGCAGTTTCAAAGGAAGTTCTCCATTATTTTTTCTTGGTTTTCGCCAATTTTAAAAGTAATATACTCACACTGTAGAAAATTTGATGGATAAAAAATAATCATAAAGAAACAACAGAGATCATCAACAAAGACCAATGGTTCTCAGAGATCAAGAGGAAGGGGAGGATGAATAGTCAAAACACAGAAAAATTTTAGGGCAACAAAACTTACTCTGTATAATACTAATAATGGTAGAAATACGTCATTGTACTTTTGCCCAAACCCATAGAATGTATAACACTAAGAGTGAATCCAAACGTAAGCTATAGACTTTGAGTGGTGATGAAGTGTCGGTGTATTTATCATTTGTAACAAATGTACCACTCAGATGAGGAATTGATACATGATAGGCTATGCGTCAGGGCAACAGATATGTGAAAAATCTCTGTACCTTCTTCTAGCTTTGCTATGAACCTAAAAGTACTCTAAAAAATTGTCTTAAAAAATAAAAGAATCAATAAAATCACCATAATCCCACCAAGGCAACTGTGTGTGTATGTGACCTCCTTGTAGGTTTTGTTCCTATAAATTTTGTTTACAGAATTGAGATCCAATTGCACTGTATTTGTAATTTTGTACCTCGCTTTGTTTTTTACTGTCAAATATATTCACAAGCCTTTTTGTCATTCAAGACTTTGGGTAAACATTCATTTTAGTGGAATTCCCCCTATAACAGATGAGATACCTGAGGTTGGGTATGGGAGAGTAAGCCTGCTTGAATCTAGCACAGAATTCCAGTCTTCTACTGCTGGCCTGATGCTCTTCCACTAGACCAATTTGCCCAACTGAAGGAAACAAGTAATACAGGTCTACCCAGAAACTCTCACATTTTATGACATGGCACCAGGACGGAACCTCTGTGATCTAGAAGATGGCCTTAGCTTTTTTGTACTGGTGGTACTTGAGGGATGTACTCAGATGGCTATCAGTTAGGGTATTTTATGTAAGGCAGCATGAGAAGGAAGAACACAGTGTCAGTGTCATTCCGTCCTCCCGGATCCCAGCATCTCTACAACAGAAGTGAACAGTGGAAACTACAGCAATGGCTCAAGATCCAAACACAACTCTAGTAATCCAAGAGTCTTCAGAAACTGCTGTAAGAATGTTTTAAACACATTTTTGTTGAGGTATAATTGACATAAAATAAATCGTATGCTTTAAGGATATAATTAATAAGTTTTGACATGTGTATACACTTGTAAAACCATCACCACAATCAATATAATGAACATATCCATTATCTCTAAAAGTTTTTTTGGTAATGCTTTTCTCCCACCTTTCCCACCCACCCACCCACCCATTATCCCTGTGCAACTACAGATCTACTTTCTGTCACTGTATATTAGATTGCATTGCTAAATTGTATATAAATGGAATCATACACTATATACTCTGGCTTTTTTTCACTCAGCATAAAATTGTGAGATTTCCCCGTATTTTGTGTATCCATAGTTCATATATTTTAGTTGTTGATTCATATTCTAATTTATGGATATTCCACAATTTATTATTAGCTTATTGATGGACATTTGAGTCGTTTCCAGTTTAGGGTTATTATAAATAAAACTATTATAAATGCTCCTGAGCTTTAATGATGTTCTTGTGCTTAATTGTTTATTTATTTAGGTCTTATTTAATTTATTTTTCTATATTATGTGGTTCAATTTACTAAAATTTTGCCATGAATCTCTGCCTCTATGTTCATGAAAGATATCGATATGCAGGCTTATTGTCTTATAATGTTATTGTCTGGTTTTGGCTTTAGAGTAATGTTGGCCTCACAAATGAGTTACATTGGATTTCCTTCTCTTAGATTTTCTGGAAGAATTTGTGTAGAATTCACATTATTTCCCCTTTAGATGATGGACGCTGAATATTTTTGCATTCTTATAAATATTCTTGAGCTTTGTTTCTGGGTACAATTAAGTTAGTTGGAAATAGTCTGATCTTTTTGAGTATATCTTTTCAGTTTTGTTGGGCAAAAGACATTTACTCTAGAGCTAATTTTGCCTCACTACCAAGGCAAAGCACTTGAGTGCCCTACCAATGATTCATGAATTATGGGGGTTTTCTACCTTGGTTTATGGGAATAGGCATTTCTCCTGGTTCTCTTTGCACTTCAAAAATTGTTCCCTCTAATCCTGAGTCTTTCCCCAGTCTCAGGTACTTTCCTCATAGGAATGTGTTCATCAGTACTCAGCTGAATAATTGAGAGGAACTTTCTACTGATTTCTCAAAGGAAATCTTCTACACATCTCCAGAACACACACACACACACACTCTCTCTCTCTCTCTCTCTCTCTGTGTGTGTGTGTGTGTGTGTGTGTGTGTGTGTGTGTGTGTGTGTGTGTGTGTGTAGCTTCCTCCTCTCCAAGCCTTAGTCTGTAAATTCCCACCACTATGGGGTCCCAGAACTCCAGCCTCATCTCCACTCAACGAGCCTGCCAGGGTCTGCCTGAGTTCCCCTTCTTGCACTGCAACCCGAAACCCTTTCCAAACAGTATCATTTACCAACTGTAGGGGTTTTGTCATCTCCTCAGGGGTCACTGTTTGATACTGCCTGGTATTCAATGTCTTATGAACCATTGTTTAATATATTTTGTCCAGTTTTTTAGTGTTTCAGGTGGGAAGGTAAATCTGGGCCCTGTTACTCTATTTTAGTCAAAGTAGAACACATTGATAGTGTTTTAAAGAATGAATAATCTGAAGATATAGCAATATTTGGGGGGAAAATGGATGACCTAGTACAAAGGACTTCTCTCATCTGTCCTGTACATTATTAAGTTATGTTTTTACATAACTTTTCCTCCAGTGATGATTTTAACACTTCTGTTGCATACATAATTTTATTACAACCTCCTCTATCTCACTACTCCTGTTTTTATCTCATCCTATTATATTTTCATCTCTACTTGTTCAACCCTGAGGCTTTCTGCTCTCATTTAACAGAGGCTAAATCTTCTTGTGACCTACTGAAGGTCTTGTCCAATAGGAAATTACTTTCAAAAATCTGGTGCTCTGAGACTTCAGAATGAAGCTTCCTTTTCTTGTTTTGCATCCTGTTTCAGAGGCTCCATCTTGATCTCTTCATGGGGCCCTTCATAACATACTGAGTTCATCAGTGACTCCTACTCTCCATCTGAATGATGACTGACTCCCTGCTTGGACCCACAACCCAGGACCTGGGAGGCTCTCATCTAGCACAGCTCTACTAACCTGAGAGGGAATGTTTACTCCCATTGCTTGGCTCTGTGGTTCTCTGAATTAATAGTTAATGGATAACATTGCCTTCCCCAGCAACATTGCTATCAAGGCTGTATCTCCTTCTGCCTGTACCTTCAGCACTTTATTTCTTGGTGATAGTACAATACCTAAGTTGGATTTTCCACTGCTCATCTTCCATTTATTCCCTAGTTAGCTGTTTTCTGTGTGTTGTATACTCCTAGAGGATAGTAAGAGATCATTTCTGATAGTTATGGAGGTAAAGAAGCTGAGGGAAAAGAGACTGCACTCAGTGTCTCAAGAAGTAGAATCACACAGCAAAATAGAGATGTCCAATTTTCTTGTCAGTGATAGACCTTATATTTCTGAACCAGAGGACAGAGTGTAGAAGAGACAAAGAATTTTTCTACCCAAGAGAAGAAAATTTTCTGAGAGAAAACTTACTCTATTCTTGTGGTACAGTAAATTCACATTCTACATTTTTTAAAATCCAACTGATCAGGCTTGCAGTTTAATTTCAGTTATTCCTAGTTTCTGGAAATCACTTGGATATCAATCTCAGTTTTCGCTTTTGAATATTTATATCTTTATGGTCCTTATTCAAGAATAAAATTGTGAGAGGGTATAATGCTAAATGACTATTGGTCATTTACCATTTTGAAATACCAACCAGGTAAGAGGTGGGGAGGGGGGAGAAAAATACCCCCAACCAAAATTACTTCTATAAGTAGAGTGTATTCTCAAAAAAGTAGGTTAAATGACATTTACCTATTGACCATGGTTATTCCCAAGAATCACTATCATCTTTTCTGAATATTCACAGAGTATAGATGAATGAGGAATGAGGAAACAGAAGAATTAGATCTCTTCAGAGAATATGAACTCCATAAACTGGATTTCTAGGGTCACCAATTTGATATCTAATGTAGCCAAAGCTTTTGAAGACACATATAAAATTCTTGCCTCCACCATGAAAAGGATGGGACAACAAAGGAGGTTTAATATATTCTAAACATAGAGTGTCCTTGGATGCTTTTCTTTTGCCCATCACAGAATCAAAGATGACTGAGAAGCAAGCAGCAGTTGAAGACCAAGTGGCAGCACCCCCTCTGCAAGACGCTGCTGCTCAGTCTTCAAGCTCGAAATCCTCCATAGTGTACCTGAAGGATGTTGTGTGTTACCTGTCACTGCTGGAGATGGGGAGACCTCAAGATAAGCTGGAGTGTAAGTGCTCCCCTGTCAAGGGGCTTCAGCTTTTTCCTAGAGGAAGATCTGGAGCCCTGTCCATCATTCTTAAACATGCTGAAGATTGAGCTGGGTCCTGCCTTCTTGGGGGAGGTTTCTTTGTCCTGTTATCTGCAGATATATGAACATCTTCTCCTAGGATCCACCCTAGGACATAGTACCAGTTGCATATAGAGTGGGAAGGGCTTCTGAGAGCCAAGCACTGAGAACCAGAATTTTCAAAGGGGACAAAGTCTCTTCAAGGAGTCAAGACTTTCCTGCTTTGCTGGCAGGACTTCTTGAAAGTCTTTAATTGGCTATGTTGCCCAGGCTACCTCCTCTTAACAGATTTTTCATGGAAAGATATTAACCTGTGTCCTCCTTCCCCTATTTCATGCCCAGCCAACCATTTAACTATGAGGGTTTTTTTTCCCCACTTCGACTAAAATGGAGGATTGATGAGGCCTATGAGGATTGATGAGGCCTATCTCTATCTTGTTAAGACTTTTTTCCATTTCACCACCTACCTCTTACCCCAGGTTATTTGGCTTCTAGAGAAAGAGGGCTAGTTAATTCAAGGAGTTGAGCTTGTTTTCATGGTGCTACTAAAGTTGGTTTTTAAAACGTCTTCAGGAGAGTAAGACCTGGGGGCAAAAAGGAAAGTTTATAGTTACTGAAACGGCCTTGAACAGTCTTGAAGATGACTCAGTCCAGGAACAGATTCATTGGCCTCTGTGAGCCTACAGGCATATTTTCAAAAATAGATGAAAGGACATTTTGAAAAAAAAAAATTGTATTGTTTTGCTTCTCTTGGGAACTTAAGTAGACAATAAGGAAAAAAATACACATTATAGCAAAAGTTAAACTATCAACTAATAATAAAACTAGTCAGCAAAACTTAAATATTAGCGAGTGAAGTCTGCCAAAGGTTAACTCTCACCAAAACCAAAATGAAACAGTTTGCCCATTAGCTGAGCTTAAAATCTCCCCCATGGGTTTGAGGTGTTAACAATTGCAAATCTTAAACACTAATTTGGTAGCAATTGTAGCAGATTTCTGTTTTCTTCTGGCAAATGTTAAAAATGAAATGTCAAGTTATTTCTAATATTTAGCTAGATTTTGTTTTAGGCAATATATTTGTCAGTAACTATCAAAGAGAATGTGGCAGATTCTTTATGTTAGTGACTCTCAGACTGAGTCTTGTAATGGTAATGAAAAGAAACATTTTACTAGAAAATTTCAAAGATAGGTAAAAGTGGAGAGAGTACAATGAACTTCCATGGACCATCCCCAGCGTCAGCAATTATCAACTCAAGGTCAGTGTTTATTTATACCTCCTACATAGTCCCTCTGCCTCAGACTACTTTGAAACAAATTCCAGACATCATATAATTGTATCTATAAATATTTCAGTATGTACCTCTAAAAACACAGACTCTTTTTCTTAAATATAACCATAACACCACTACCATATTTAAAGAAAATGATTCCTTACTATTATGAAATGTTCAGTAAACATTCACATTTGTCAATTATCTTTGATATTTTTAATTGCTTGAACCAGGATTCAAGTTGATGCATCCTTATTTGTTATTATGTCTCTTCACTCCCTCTCTCTCCTTTTTTTTTTTTTTTTTGAGTTGAAGTTTCACTCTGTCATCCAGATTGGGGTGCGGTGGCACACTCCCGGTCACTGCAGCCTCGACCTGCTGGGCTCTGGCGATCCTTCCATTCAGCCTTCCAAGTATCTGGAACTACAGGTGCGCGCTACCATGCCCGGCTAATTTTTGTTTTGATTTATTGTAGAGATGAGGTCTCGCCAAGTTCCCCGGGCGGGTCTCAAACCCACGGTCTCAGGCAATCCACTCACCTCGGCCTCCCAAAGCACGGGATTACAGGCTGAGCCACCGAGCCCGGCCTCTTCACTCTCTTTTAATCTTTTGGTTCCCTCTCTAATTTTTTCCTTGCAATTGTTTGTTGTAGAAACTTGGTTATGTAGAGTTTTCATTTTGATATATTTTTCATTAAACCAAGTCAATATATAGTCTTTCCTAATTTTAACTATTGAAAACATAAGCTTTTCTTTTTTCTTTGAGTTAAAGTCTCACTCTGTCACCCAGACTGGAGTGCAGTGGCCGCTTCTGGCCACCGCAGCCTCAACCTGCTGGGCTCCAGCGATCCTTCCGCTCAGCTCAGCCTTCCAAGTAGCTGGAACTACAGGCGCGCGCTACCACACCCAGCTGATTTTTTATTTATTGTGGAGATGAGGTCTTGCCAAGTTGCCCAGCGGGTCTCGAACTGACGAACTCAGGCAATTCACTCACCTCGGCCTTCCAAAGGCGCGGGATTACAGGCTGAGCCACTGAGCCCGGCAAGCTTTTCTTTTTT